CGAGTGCCGGCTACTAACTTTTCGGCCTAGTAGTTTCAATTTTTTTTGTCGTTTGTTCTTGTGTCATAATTCTATTTAATATTAAATAACAGTAATTATCATAAATCCGAAACCACCGTTCATTACAGAGAAAATCTTTACAGAAATTGTACAAAGGCAATAATACCTCTAAATATGCGGTTTATAGTAATTTTAACGATCGTTTTTTTCATTGATGTAAGTAAACAGTCACGTGAAATCTCTGCTTAATGCGAAACAATCAACTAGGTAAAAAAAATCAGGTGAAAATGTTTGAAAAATCAGATGAATAGTAACTCTGCTTTGTGGATTATCTGTTTTGATGTCTCTTCGCCCTTTACTTACCAACAGACATCAATGCCAAATAATTCAGCCCTGAAAGCAAAAAACTCAAATTCTTTAGATCCATTGTTCAAATGCAATAGGTTTTATATGTTTTTTAATTTTCCAAAACAATCTTTCTACAAGAATTTGATTTTTTCATTTACGCAATTTGTAAAGCCTTTATTTGCCATTTTTTATGCAACCCCATGTAGAAATCACGCTCAAAAACTGCTCAAGATTTGAGCGGTTTTCCGTCACGGTTAGAATGATTTGAGTATTTTGTAGAGAAATTTTCCAATCCCCCAAATCTTGCTTGAAAAATTGCTCAAAATCCGCTCATTTCTTATGATGGTTTCGAACGGTTTTTTGAGCAAGATGTGAGTATCTTTTGAGCATTTCGAAGTAAACAACCAATCAAACCGTTTTAAATGCACCAAAAGGCAAAGTGACTAAAATACTTCCTACAACTCGACCCTGTGCCTGTACAAATCCTGGGTGTACATATATGCATAAACACGCACATAACTTATATGCAAAACGCATATTGCTCGGTTTTGAGTGGTTTTTGTAAATAACGTTCCAAAACCGCTCAAAAACCGCTAATTTCATAACAAGATTTTGTGCGCACTTGTCTAAAAACCGTTTAAACCGCTCAAAATTTTGCTTCAAATCTCGCCTCGGGATGTACAACGTGCAGCTCTTTTTAAAACATTTTTTCTACTTTTGTTTAGGTCGCGCACATAATCATGATCTGCAAAAACTCAATTACTTTTGCCATTCGCTTGATGTATTAGGACCCAATCAACGCTATTGACTGCAATCAAAATGAAGATGGCCGGTAGTATATTTATTGTTTCTTAATGTCAAAGTTCTCTGAGAACTTGAAAAATTAAAAGAAAGTAAGAAGTGGTTTTTTTCTTCTTTTCACTTCATCTTTCAATTTTTGTTTAAAATTGTTCTTTTTTATTTGAAAATTTTTTGTCGTTTTGTCTAAAGTTTTTTAACTAAAATTTCCAATTTGTTTCCCTTCTGACATTGCAACTAGTGATTAAAAAATAATAATCATAATCATAAAAATCATAGTGTTTTCGGCGATTCGCAGAGGATCTATGAAAGGCTATCCAGCCTGTCTCATCATAGTCTGTTTCTCTTATTTCCCCACATTCTAGACTGAATTATTTTGCTGATCGAAGCTCTTTTCTTGAGCCTCAAGGCCATCAGAAGCTAGCAAAAAGAGACGAAAACAGCTGAGTCGAAAAAATATATGTTTTTTTTTGGAATAAGTGAAAAACTATTTTACAGAAGTGAATAACTTCAGAATAGCTGTCGGTTACAGAAATGCCAGCCTTAAATACATTTTCACTATTTATCTAGTGACCAATAATCGCAATAAGTAGGTGCACGACAGTTGATCCGAAAGCAGAAAACCATGAAAAAAATTGGAGCGATTAAATTTTCAAGTTTTGAATTTTTGCACTACAACAGACCAAAAATAATTAAAAATAACATATTTTTGCTCTTCAAAGGACACAAAATTAGATGAAAATGTCGATACAGCATAAACTGCTGCAAACATGTAGGCCGAACGAAAGATTCAATTGAAAAAAAAAACAATAAAAGAAAATCATGAAACGCCAGGGCTAAAAATTTTTAAATTGCAGGAGAAAATAAAAAAACTTGCAGTTACAGGGAAAAGTGCTTAAACACAATAAAATCCGCAATATGCCAACTGAGCCGACAAAACATTAACTTCTGATTCATGTATACTCAAATGAAAAACAAGGTCCGGACGAGACTCGAACCCCAGACCAAAAAAAGGACAACTGCATCACCTCCAGAACAAGTGGGAAGGAGACTGGACTTTGTAAAAGTTCACTAATGAAGCTAGTTCAATTTCTTACAAATGTGAAAAAGTTTGTCTGCCGGAATAAAGTCTAGTTACCGATTACAAGGCACTTGCTCTCGCAAATATAACAATCAAATTTTTAACGTTTAGTTTACTCTATGCTGATTTTTTTGGCCAACTAATGTTGCTCAGAATAAACAAAAAAATTAGCGGTAGTTCAAAACTGGAAGCACGGCAAACATCGTTAAAATATAAAAACTATTCAATTGACCAGAGTTCTAAGGAATAAAATTATAAACAATGCTTATTGGAAAGCAAGTGTTTTTCACTTAATTTTGATACTTGTTTGAAAAAAATCATCTTTTTCCAATTTTCTTTTTTCTAATCGACAACCCATTTTTGATTGAAATTTATTTCAGTCAGCATTGATCAGATAAAACAAGAATTCTTGAATCAAGTCGAGGCCCTGATTGTTTCGTGTGCGCCTCAATGTCTATGACATCATATAACAAGATGATTTTTTTTTATATCAGTGCTCAATCGTAAACACTTTTGAGGAAATTGAAAGTCTGGAATTTGTTATCGAGTCTGAATTTTGCAAAATTGGTATTCAGGGATTATTTAAAGCTTGAGCAATTTTGTTTCACAATATTTTATCATTCTGAACATCGTGAAAATTTTTCCAAATTTTTAAAGAACCTTGCTTTATTTTGCGTCATTTGCTGAAATTTAAAACGGTTTCCTAAATCATATGATGAATTGTAACACAACATATTGTACTACAGCTTGCCTCTGCGAATTTTAATGTTAATCACATCGAAACAAAAAAGCAATAACATAACAAGGGTTGACGTCTCGGGCCAAAACATGTATCAAGTGTATAAAGATACTTAACTGGTGATCATGTTTTGTAAAGTTAATGCGCTCGATAATTGTTTTTTATTACTATGGTTTTTTTGACGGGGTGCTGTTAATACGTCAGCGGCGAATATTTCCCGCTCAAAAAATTCGAAAGTGAACTTCGAGAGGCTGCTATCTGGTCTTATTATTCTGTGACTAGTTGTTAAACGTGTCAATTAACTCTGGGAAAACTTAGAAAACAATATTTTTTTTTATAAAATTCACTTTTTGTTAAAAATACTTAGGTCAATTTTTGAAAAAAAAACTATCTATTCATAGCCATCATTAAATGGCAGTGGGAATATTCAAGACCTGATACAAACAGTTTTTTAATATATTTTTTAGTATAAATAAAGGCGTATTATTGGAGTGCGCCGTTGATTCAAACGTTTGAAAGAGTGTGTATTTTGTAGGTTATATTGGTGCAAAAATTTGAATATCCTGTTAGAAAAAATTTTTGAAAACCAGCATTTGCCAAAACTTTCTTTGTGAGATCAATATTAGCTGCGTATAGCGTGGTAAAGTTTCAAAAACTTTATATTTTAGATTTGATTTCCTGTATTTAGCGGAATTTTGTTTAGCGGAATTTTGTTTAGCCGAATTTTGTTTTGATCGCTGCCAGTCGTTTTAAGTAAACACAAATCACGTCAATTTTCCATGCGGCATCAAATACTGGAGTTTTGTTTGCTCAAGTTGTAAGAAGTTGAATGATTTTCACAATTTACTGCTTCAAAGTTAGCTTCTATCTAAAGATACAACCTCATCAGCATTTTTTCTTTTATATTTTGAATGTCTCTCATGCAAATTAGCGGTGTCATTTAGTTCATAGAAAACGCAAAAAGTTATAGAATCTAATAAACAAGAAAAATGAGTTTGAATAATTAATGGAAGCTTGGTAGTCATAAAATTCCATAAAATGCACAATAAAAAAAGCAAAAAATCTGTTTTTTTAAAGTATTTTTCAAGTTTTGGCCTTGAGAGATCAAAGTAGGTTTCAGATCCCGAAAACTTTGTAAGATGAAAATTTCAGTGCTAAGCTCGGTTCCTTTGGTAATGGTATAGATTCCACGGACAATTTTGCTGGATTTTATCACAGTTGCAAAATATTTTAATTTAAATGGAGGAACAGAACTGTGAATGAAAGACAAATATTAAACTCAAGACAGATTTCAACTACAAAATGCAAAAAAAAGAACTTCAGAGAAAATGTAGAATTCAGAGATAGATGTTTTCCAAGCAAGGCCTTAATTTAATTTCAAAAAATATCTTTAAAAAGAAGAACCACTGGTAAAGTTTTTTTGAAAATGCTCAATCAAACCAATTTTTTTTCAAAATAATTTCAATTACACATCTTTGGTTTCAGATATTCGCAAATTATTTTCGGATTATTAGTATATCTGTTTTTAACTCCACGAGCTGATCTATATCTTTCAAATTGCAGTGATTTCTATCAAAAATTGCTAGATTTATGATTTGTCGGTGGTTTCCGCAATTAAGCCAGCGCTAGTTATTTCATGTCCAAGGCCAAATTAGCGGATGCAGTGACAAACTGTAGAATCCAACAACAAAAAAGCGGAAATCACTGATTAAGAGTAGAGTCCAGTGATTAGGTGCGTAATCCGGACACAACAAAATTATTTTGAAAAAAAATCTGCGGAATCCAGTGACAATTACTGGAGTTCGTTTCGTTTTCTGCTGAATAGCATAGCAGCAATTTATTTTTTCAGAATTTTGTGCAAGCATCATCCTGTTTCTGTTGCAAAAGCCTCATAAATCATTTTTAAAATGTGTCTGTGGATTTCTTAAGGGAGTGAGCCAGCTTCTGAACTCTGTTAATAAACTGAACTTGTCGTGTTAATGATGAAATAGAGAAAAAAAGATGATTGAAAAAGAAAAAGTCAATGAAACTCACACTTGGCGTGATTGGCACAGTGTAAAAAGTCATATAGGCTGACTACTGTTTTCGCTGTCGTTACTTCAATCAAAAAGATATTTTATTAAATTATATTGACGATTGTTTCGTCAAAACGGACGATAAATTTCATTTTCAAATCAAACTTCCAAAAAAATAGTTCAAATGATCCAATTTAAATTTTAATGGGTCAGTGGTCAGGAAAACATTGCATTTTGAAGGTCAATAGAGGTAATGATATCATATAAGAAGGTATTATTAACCTTTTGGATTGTTTTCGACACGATTAAATTGAATAAGCTCAGGGGAACGACGTAATTAGCCGGATTGAAATAAATTCCAAGTTGAAAAGTGGAACAGTAAAAATGTAATTGAAATTGGAACATCAATATTTGCTGTTACAACTGCAACTTAACCATATCGCCCATCACCCAGCGGGCAAATTTTGTTCATCTTACCTCTTACTCAAGATAGGCAGAAAAGTAAGTCATCATTATTCTGGTCGAGAAGGACAAAAAAAGCTGCTCGGGTAGAAAAAAAAGAAACATGGGAATAAAATAGAGAAAATAATCTAATAGAAAAGTGCCTCTTAAACTAGAAAGCGAATCTTTTTTTGCTTGCATCATAACTGAGTTACTGGTGAAAATTAGTGAAAGTTATGCGCTGGTATATAATTGTAGTTATAAATAAATAAAACATCGTCCACCGCACTTGAATTACTTTTTTAACGGGTTGAACAAAAAAAATAACTGTCACCAAAACTAAATTTATTTTTGAATTTATTATGCCTTAAAAGGGTTTTCATAAATATAATAATGACCTTAGATGGTTTATGATGTTATGATGACAGTTTGTCACAGGTGGTTTAAGAACTACCCAGTCTAAAATAATTAGACCGCGAAAGGACTAATAGAAAAATGCAGAATTGGGTTGAAGTACGAACTCGTTGCGTTTGAGGTAATTAGGGTTTATACACCTTTAGTTACGTATAGCTAGTAGCATAAATGAAAAGCAAGTTGTCATTTTTCTAACCCAATGAACCATCTTAAAATTATGTAGTTAAAGTTAACTCAGGTTTGTAATATCAAAATTCAATAAAATGGCCATTTTCAACTTCAAAAAATGATATTTCAGTTTACTTTTCTGCTTGTATTATGTATATAGTCCTAAAAGATATCTTTGAAAAGGAGATTCGTTCATAGAGTTTCAATTCAACTACTCAGTCAAATCAAATATTTATTGTTAAAACTCCAGAGAACCCATATTTTTTCAAATTTGGTGTTAATTACTGTATCTCTCTCATACAGTAAGGAAATTCAGGGTTATGTGGCGTACACCAATTGTCAGAGATAGACCCTTTTGCCCTTTATTTATCAAGCCTAGAGTCGGTCTAGACTGAAGCAAAAAAAATGTGTATATGCCATGCCGCCTTTGGACAAGGTTTGAAAACGAGAATAGGCAATGCCAACACTAATTAGTCGATTTGTAGCATGCGCATGTCATCACACTTTTTTTAACATCTCAAACTGTCATAAATACAAAACAAGACTGCTCGTATCAGGGCGAAGCCCTGAATGTTCTGACTGCCTTTTAAGGTTTGTGGAGCAGTAATAACATTAAAAAATTAAATGAAATAAAATTGAAAGAAATTTTTTTTTTAATTTGAAATTTTTTTATGAAAATCATCCCCCCACACGCCATATAAAGTACAAAAGGATAGATTTCGTTCCTTGTAACAAATCAATTATGGCAAATAAGCTTCGTTCAACCAATTTGGATCAATTTCTAAGACGGATTAAATCTCCGCTCACGCGTTAATAGCTGGCCAAATGGCCAAAATGGCAACCTTTAAACCCTCATATTTTTACGAAAAATGATCACAGGTGAAAGGACAACAATACCTTTTGAATGATTTTTAAAAATTCCGTCAAAAATGGCTAGTTAAAAAGTCGAAATTTGTCTGAAGAAAAAAAAACCCACCCCGAGCACAAATATTCCGTTACTTTCGTATCGAAAGTCGGAACAAAAACTTCCAACACTTTTTCAGCAAGAAAATAAAAATAAGAACCTGCAGACGAAAATCAACATCGAAACAAGAGGACTACCATATTAGCACCAGCAGATTTAGGGGGGGGGGAGGCGCCCTCGTGCCGCCGACCCAAACGGTCACCTCTTTGTACTAGTTTGAGATATCAGTTTTCGGCTGAGAAACCCTTAAATTTTTGGTGCCAAAATATTTTAACTTTGAGGGGGGAGCGCGCGCCGAAAAAAACGCGACTTTTGGTCGAAATTTTCCAAAAGTGCCTGAAAACGATTTTTTTGGCCTTTTTTCAAAAATTTGCCTGCGGCGCACAAAATGTGGCCAGAACAGTATCTTTTTACTGCTTTGGGAGAGCTCAGAAAATCAATTTGGTCGACCTAACAAAAGATCAGATTCAGATTTTTTGAAAATCAGCCACCCTCGAGAAAAACCTAGATCCGCCCCTGTAGAAGACTTAATGTTGGAAGCATTTTTCAAAAACAAAACTTGTCAAATTTATTTGACAGGTCTACCAGGCGGATATTAGCACTATTTGAGATTAAAAAAATGAAGCAATTTATCAAACCAATGCTACCTAAAAATAATTTTGTCAACAATTATTTTGTAAATGACGACAATTCGCAACAAATGACAATTCTTTAAAGTAGTTTAAGCGGAGAACACTGATTCATAATCACTATTTTTTTGCGCCAAAAAAGCTCAGATGAAACTTTTACATTTTTGAAGTATTAATTATTACATTATTAACTATTACAAATTGTTACGAATTGTCGTTTGTAACGAATTGGCGCTTATAACGAGGTTGCTCTATCCTAAAAACTTGATTCTGATCCAAACTAAGAGAATTTGAAAATGAGTTTCAACTGATAAAAAACCTAAGGCATCATATAACTGTTTCGCAAATGGGGACCGGCCTATTAGCATGTGTGTCAATTAGCATGCATATGAAACTTTTGAACTATTTCGCGTTTTGTTAATATAAATTTGAAAATCGCAATTTTTATCAGTGCATATTTAGTCAAATTTTTAATCAGGCAAAAAGGAAATTCTACCTCCTCTAGTAAATCACATTATTTCGAAAACAAATGAAAATTTAAATTTGTTTGTTTTTCATCTGAAAGCACAACCAGTTGTTTAACTAACGCATGCTACCAGTTGAAAAAACTTTTTCAACAAAAATGTTTTTTTCCAATACCTAGATAACTTTTTAACCTTTGTTTCTTTTTCTTTTTGGAATTTCAAATCACAATAAAAAAAAATATGATAATCAACTTGATATTGTATCAGCAATGTTTGAGCATCTAAATATGCGTCAAAAAACACCTTGGGCCATAGCTCTTTCGCATTTATAAAGGTCAGAAAAAAAACAGCTTCGAACAAAAAACAGAATGAACCGAATTGTTTGTTAAATCATTCAATCACAGAAAAGACAATCGATCCCTCTTTGAAATTTGCCAAAGATTATTTCTAGTAACAGTAAACGCCATCGGATTAAATTCTGTGTCAGTGGGCATCATGTCAAATCAGTGAATTTTGATTCGAGAAGTTTTAAAAAAAGCCATGACGATACCTCCGATTACGCTTTAAGCAACAAACATAAATAAATTTAAAAATTTTATTCCAAAAGAATCACAAGTCTCATAACAAATTAGGGCAACTATTTAGCTAGAAATTCTGATTAAGGCAAACCACAGACATTTACCTTTGAGATGCTGACCCTAATGACTGGGTATTACAGAAAAAAATTTTCGATCAAAAATCAAAGCAGACGACCAATCGAAATCAAAACAAATAACAAACCAACAGCATTAAAAAAACCAAAATTTAAAAAACGACCGCTGGCCGGTACTGTTCTGCTAATTAGTACTATGTGTTTAGAAGTGCCAACGGATGACTCAGAAGAGCCTCAAAGTTGTTAGTTACTGGAAGTGCAAAAAACAATTTTGAAACTGATTTCGAAAAATGTCAAGACTGATAATCGAAGAAAATCTTACAAAAACTTTCACCTACACAAGCCCGAAAACCGAAACTCGCGTATGATTTTCATCAAAATGATTTTCAACAAAAAAGAAGTTTCATTTTTTGATTTTCAAACAATTTTCAACAAAACAGTTCTTTTTCAATGCAGGATTTAAATCATGCACAGAAGCAAAGCTGATTAGGGCAAGCACAAGCAACGCAAAACTAAGAAGAAGCTTTTATGAAGCAGTTTGATAAGAAATAACAGACACAATTTTTGAGAAAGAAAAGAATACGCCTGTCAACAGATTTAAATCGACCACCTCTGGAAAACTGAGCATTAGTTTTTCAAAGCCAATTGTCCAGCTGTTTTAATATTTGGAAAAATTTCAAATGCAAAAACCACACTCCATAAGTAGAAAAAGTGCCTGCTAATAATCTCTACCCTAAAAGTTTAACTCAAAAATTGAACTTACACTTGAGCGAGTTCAAGTGGCTAAAATGAGTTCGTACCATAGCAAAACTGCTTGTATCCTGGAAAAAATAAAATGATCTGAGTGCCTTTTACATTTTGAAGCAGTTTTTCACAAGAAAAAAAGAATTAAAGTACAAAAAAAATGTTAAGTGATTTACTTTAGCAAAAATCTCCCCTAACGCCCCAAAACGAAACAAACTTATATTATTAAGTTCAATTTATTCAACCATAATGGCGTCTTTATATACTAATTACGAAATTGGATGTTCGTGTGCTGAAAAAACGCAATTCTTTTGACATTTTTCCAAAAAGTTTCATAAAGAGCAGTTTTGACATTGTGATTGTGAGTAACATAGCACCGTAAAGAAATTGTGGCAGAAAATAGCACAAAGTAGAGAACGAGAACCGCAGTAAGTAGAAAAACGCTATAATAGCACGGAATATATTGCCTGTTAACTATCCCAAATTGGCAATCTTAAAACCCATCATAATTTTGCAAAGAAAGTTACTGACAGAACAGTTTCTCAAATGAACAGAAAAATTAGACAAAATCAGGATTTGTACTTGGTTGGGAGACTTCGACCTCAAGTATTCTTTCAACTTTTTTTGAAAAAGCTAGAAATCTGTTTTTGCGATGGACAGATTTTCAGCAGTTTCAAAACCAGAGGCGACAACAACAGAAAAACCTAAGACTCCGACTTAAATTGCCTTTCGCAAACAAGAAAAATTATTCAAATAAGGCAATAATGTAAAAATTTTGATTAGTGCTGATAAATATATGACCTCCAAGTCAAAAGCACCAGTGACCTCGAGCATTCAGGTAGACTGCCTTGCACAGCTGGGCTACTGACTCTTACTGTACCGCAAAAGTGTTAACAGAATGAGCAATGCAAACTGGATAGAAAAACAGGGTCGTTTTACAAGACTCGTGATAAAATAAAATAAAGCCGAACAAAAAGAAAAAAAAACAATTTTCGTTTTATGCTACAACCTTTCATTTTTTATACTGTCGCGATGGCTATCTCGTTGGCTTTTATTTAACAAAAAAATTGTTACGAATGTGATGTCTTTGTAAAACCAAGTGTAATAGAGGTGTCTCAAGTTCTAAGCAAATTAAGAGGTTGAGAAAAATCAACGGAGCCGATCTCTCAAGGTCATTTTTAAGACTACTTCAAACGTAACTATGAGGGCTTTTCTTATGGGCGAAGGCCCGAGTGAGTGAAAAACTCATGGAAGGACAGAAAACAAAAACAGTCGTAAGTCAACTAACAAAATGATTTAACTGCCGTTCTTCTAGAAAGAATTAAATGAAGCAATATTTTATTTCTTACAAAACGAAACTCTTGAAATATAAAATTAGTTTCACTTCCCCGGCGGTCAGTGACAATTTTGCATAAATCTGCCATTTTTATGTTCGACCAATATTAAGTCCCTGGAAATGTTTTTTTTTCTTTGATATTTTCACGCCGTAACTGAAATCTCATTGGTTATTTTATTCGCCCATTCGGTCTTTCCCCTGAGGAATTCCACCGTATTTAATCGGCCTCATTTGCACTGACTTATTCAATGGGTTAATTGACCTTACGAACGAAGCAATAAAATTTAAAAAAAAACATTGAGCCGTTTTTTCCATTAGGGAAGCTGTTAGCTTTCAGGGACCGCTTTATCACACTTGTACCACAATTTCAGGTTTTAATTTGCTCTCATTTTTTTCTCAATCAACCTTGTGCAAAATCGGAAACTGTGATTTTTTGCCGCTTATCCGAGCAACAATTAAGCGTTATTTGAACGCTGTCTTGGTAATTTCACCGAAATATTGCAATTGATCTTGGCAAAACTTGAGGCGGTATAACGAAATAAGTAGCCTCTACTTGAATGAATCCCTCTGGAATTCGAGCTCCGGTTACTTAAACATCAGCCAAGTACTCTCAATTTACTACACTATAGTATCAAAAAAAATCCATTTTAACATCCATTGACTGGTTTCAGGGTGTGACTTGTCGCCGTATTCTCATGTATAAAATAAACTGCATATTGCGCTAGATCGCCGCTCTCTGTAAAAACTGTTTAAGTGAATATGTAAATTAAGGTATCCATTTCTATAAAATGTAGTATTCACTATTTTACTTAACATTAAGAAGTGAAAGTTTAAGTGTAGCAATACTATCATCTAATGAATTATAATTAGGCAACAGGAAAACTACAAATTTTAATTCCGTAAATTTACAATAGTGACATTAGAATTTAAATTTGGATTCGAGAAGTCCATAAATGCTTAAGTACTTAACAAACACGTATTAAAATAAAACTTTCGACACTTCTTCAAACACTGCGCCCCAGGACTGAATACTCATTCAAAAGAGACTTTACAGACCTACAATTTCAGCTTTAAATTGAAAATATAACAAAAAAGGCTGTTCTATCCTACTTTACAAACAATAAAACTTATAAATACAACTAAATGGATTTGCATAATGTATGGGTAGAAAAAATAACCGATTTGATCAAGTATCAAATACGAAAACTTTTCAGATAAAGAACCTAACAGTTCATTTTCTCAGTACCAAGGGCGCAGTACAGTAAAATAAGTATATCTGATTTGCATTATTCCGACAACATCAGACTTTTAAGCGAAGAAAAGCACTGAGATAACGGCTTTCGATACAGAGGATCAAATTAAATTTGAGACAAACGAACAAGAGAGGCTGATTACTGTGAAACAATTGCTAGTATTGTATCAGAAACTTTTGGTCCCAAGAAAAAAAGATATTATTACAAAGCTCAAAAAATTCGATAAGTTACTATCAAATTTCAAATTAAGTTTTAGTTTTCCATACGGTTTCGATTTATTTAAGCTACTTCCAGCGTTATGCTAATGCTTCAAAAAACATTAAGTTAGATAGATAGTAAAACAGAAAACCCCAAAATGTAGGTGCAATATAAAAAAGCCGAAGTCTAAACCAGCTACCCTACAAACCAGCCGAAAATACGTAACCGTTTCATAATAGTTATGAGTAGTTATGAACAATTTAGAGTTACGAAAGTCATGCACATTTCATTCATATGAAGTAAATTTTCGGTTGGTTCATACACTGCGCATTTTCGGTTGGCTTATACTTCGGCTGGTTTATATACACCCACAAGGTGATTATCAAAGCCAATTTAATGTAGCTGGTATGTGCAGATACCATTAAAATTAGTCTTTTCGCAGTCAACCAACCCCTCACTAAGTCATACGACGACATGATAAAGAAGATTTAGACATTCAAACCACTCAAGCAACTAAAAGAACTATCAGTTGAGCACACAATCCAAACAATAGAAATCTGTTTGCAGAGTCTATTAAAAACACCCCTATCCCCACCGAACTTGTTGTCTACTTATGCGAAAAAAGGGGGCAGATTATTTACAGAATTCTGTACTCGTATATGCTTAACCGTAGATTATTCCTTCATAGGGGTTGATATTTTTTTTACTAGTTACCACAGTTAGGACTGAAAATTCCATCCCATAGGAAGATCAATTCTCAATTAGTGCTTGTTTACGATTAACTTTCTAATACTGGCTGGTGCTTTGACTGTTCATAAGTTCAATATTCAAATTTGATTCTTGAATATATAGTAAAACCGCTTACCTTGGACTTGAACCCCCTTCTCCAGTAACATAGTTCGGCAAAAACAAATGGCTGCATTAGTTAGAGAACAATTATATCGAGTCAATTTAGAGGAAACAAAACAAACAACACTTTGAAAGACAGGAAAATACGCAGCGGAAAAATAGATTTAACATATTTACACTTGATAAAACGATAACTACATTAGAAACAGAGTCAATTTTTAAGAGCATTTACGAAATTCAGCCGAAGATTAGAGTGAAATGGCACTTGGTTTGAAAAGGCATTTTGTGAGTGTGATTTCAATGAAAGAATGACGGGAGAGTGATATTTAGTTTCAATTTATTTTATATACTTTGATGTTTGTGCTAGGGAATGAAAGAACCAATTTTTAGTTGCAATGGGTTCTTAGTTACTATCTTTTGAGCCACCATTGTTGTGAAAACTTATTGAAGCTGGGCCGGGTTCGGATTGAGATGCAATCAAGTCCATCGTCTGTTCTTTCTCAGAAGAGCGCAACTGGAATCGACTCATGAGTTCCAGGCCTTGAACAAAAAATGGTCATTACATATACAAAAAAAAATTTTTTTTTTGTCTACTAACATATCTATAATTATTAGCCAGTGAATAACAGTTTGGAATTCCTGTCATTGTTATGCAATTCCCACCAGATAAATTTTATGTAAATCACTGAGGCAAAGCTGCAACTTCGCAAGCACGAACGAGAAAGCGTCAAAGATTCGAATGCACACAAGTTCAAAATTTGTATGTAATAAGTTGGCATGTAAAAAACTACAGACCACCACATTAACTTTGCGTGTAATAAATTAGAAAATATATTAAACCAAATTGCGTTAAAATAATATCAAACATAACCAACTGACTGTTGGAAAAGAGCAATGAACGCAATGAAACTGAAACAAAAACTGACTTTTTTTTTGTTCAAAAATCTGGAACTTTTGACTTTCGAAGAAAAAATAGATGGCCTTAAAGCTCTTTGAATTTTTAGAACAATTTCTGATGGACACTTTTTTTTTTAAAATAACCCAATTTGAGAAAACTGGATCAATAGGCAAAACTTTTATTTCACTGGGATATCTGATAATTAATTTCCATTTTCGAAATTAGAAGTCGCTCAAGTTTTTCGTGACCTTTTTACTTTTGCTGTTCGAAAGTCGAGTTTGCCTTCCTGATAACACTGAAAATGCACTAAACTTGGAAAAAATTGAAAGTCAAACAGCGAAAAAGTAGATTTGAGCCTCAACAAATTTTCAGACTTTTCCAGAAAAAAAAGATATCGCGTTCATCGACTTTTAATAATTTGCCAAATAATTTTAATAAAAAAATTAAGGAAATGGACACAATTTTAGTCCTCTCCACTGGTCATAATTTCGTCTACTATTGCTTCGTTCCAAAAAGCATGGTTTATGTTAAAGAATGTGTAAAATGCGCGATTTTGATGCGCTGAACATTCCAACTCAGAACCAAGTTGACATCCTCCTCCCTCAACGGACTTTGGGAGTGGGGGGGGGGGGGTTGTTAACTTGGTTTTACTTCTCTTTTTCAACCAAAGGACCATGAGTGCCTCGAGAAATACCTGCGAAGATCTGAGGTTGTATTTGTTCGTGTGTGAAGAGGGCAGAGTGGAGGGGGGCTGGTGTCCAGCATAAGCGTAGGAGGATTGGGGGGAGTGACTGCTGTTTGACAGATATGTAGAAGAGGGGGGCAAAGTTGATGCGGCTGCCACTGAGTTTGATGAGTGGGGGTAGGAGTGGCTGTTAGGAGGCACTGGTTGTGAGGTGTCCATCACAGAATGCTTCACACTGCTCGCTCCATTGCTGCCGTTAGCACCTAAACATCAAATGGGAAAAACTTACGATTCATTTTGCAACCATAACAAATATCGTTTATCAGCATTCAAAAGCATAACGAAATAATCGATCTATAGAGCAAAAAGCTTCAGCCACAGCCAACAGGGCTGAGACAAAAGACTGAAACTATGGAAAACCACGTGAAAAGTATAATATACACCGAAGAAAAAACGCTCGGCAATTAGCAAAACAAAATGAAACCTATAACCGTTGAAAAATTTTCATCATCTCATAGAAATTGTAAAATAATTTGGACTTTTTTGATTTTCAATTTTTTTTCTAAAAAAATCACCTTATAGTTTTTGAATTCAAGATTCTTTGATAAATTACATTTTCAATACAAACTAACTCAAATGGGGAAATTGAATTAGCAACAATTTATCTTAACTTCTGACACAGAGGCGAAGATGAGCTTCGCATAACTTGCGATAAAACGAAAGCGTAACATTACAAGCTACCAAATAGTCAGTGAAATGAGAATAACTAAGTCGAATATTTTTTAGGAAATACAATAAGTTTTAGTTCAGAAAACAGACGAAAATACAACCGCTAGCTTTAAAAATTATTTAGTATTTTCCGAGCGTTCACAAAGCCAACAACATATGCTTAGACATCAATCGATCCGAATACAAAAAAAAAACTTTTTTGAATCGACCAACTTCACGTACAGATTATCAAGGCTAGAGTAGATGGCTCAACTACAGGGTCACTTACGACTTGGACATCTTCAACATGTTTTACCAACGAAGGGATTGCATTTTAAGCGCGACCAGCTCTGCATGCATTTTGCTCCGCCCTGCATGGGAGCGGAGTGCTTTGACACCCATGTTGTACAGCGTAAAAACATATCTGAACACGTGTTTAGTTGTTGATTTAGCAACCCCAATTTAAATTCACTATCTTGAAGCCAGTCTTCATTGAACTTACATCTTCCCTTGACTGAACTTTTGCGACTCAGGTTAAATTACAGGTTAACGCTTAATAAACAATTGAATTTAGACTTTGAAGTAAAAACTCGCTCCTTCACGCTCCTGGCCCGACACAACTTTTCTCGCACTGACACGGCCCTGACAACTTTTTGTTCGCCCTGATATGGCCCTGACCGCGTGGCAACCCTAAAATTGTGCGATGAGTTTTTCTTAATTTTTTTTTAAGTTTGAACTTTTAATTTTTATGCTACCAACCGACCTGATTTATTCAAAAAAAGAATAATCATTATTCTACTCCATAAAACGATGCAAAATAAGTTCACTAAACCGACAAAACATTAGCAAGAATTTTTTAGGCCGATTAAAAATTCTATTCGAAAAAAAAAACAAAAAAAACATACCAGTCAGGAATGTAAATTAAAAAAACTACCGAGTTAATCAAGGACAACTGAATAACGCTTGCTAAGCGCAAGGGTAACAACAATAAAAATTGCTTACAGCGCAAAAAAATTGTGGTGTGGCAACTAAGCTGACAAACTATAGTCCGATTATTTAGTTTTTCCCGGAAAGAAATCAATTTCAGACATTAAAAAAAACAAGGTCCGGCTGTGACGCGATACCCAGACCATAGGGTGCAAAGGCAACAGCATTACCTCCAGGCCAAAAGATAATGGGCCTGGAAGTTAATAAGAATCAATAATATAGCAACATCAGTTTCAATTGTGTAAAAAAATTAGTTTACGGAAAAAAGCCAAGATCCCGATAACAAGACACTTGCTCTCTCAAAAGTAAAAATCGAAGTCAAGCTGATTTCCTCTCTATTGTCCATGTTTTGAAAGGCGCAAATCGCCTCGGATTTCTTTCAATGATTTCATGAAATTAAAGAAAAACGAAACAACCGGTTGCTGTTCAAACCGCAAAGACGGAAGTAAAAACCTCAAAAATGGGATAAAACTTTTTCTGATTCAAACAAAAATCTGGTTCTAAAGTTGATTCTATTTGAGCAAGGCAAAAAGGGAAATAGCACCTAAATTATTTCAAATTAATCGAGCGTATGTTTTCCTATGGATTCTAACACACATTCTTTACTCAACTCTGTTAATAACACATAACAAGGACTATATTTCATGGCAGGTACACTTGAAGCCATGAATCGTGAAAAAATTCACACTTTAAACCTAGCCAAAATACAGTTGGAAATGACAATAAACATGAACCACAACGATACATAGCAAACAAACAGTTGGAAAAGAGTCAATGAATGCACAGAAACAGAAAAAAAACTGACGTGTTTTGTTTCAAAATATCAACATTCGAATTTTGAAGAACAAACTGATGCCATTACAGCTCTTCTGAATTTAAAGAACAATTTTTGATTGGCGTTTTTTTGACAAAATTAACCCAATTCGAGAAAATCCAGATTCTGAACTTGAAAAAATATCACAAGTCATACCGCGAAAAATCAATTTTTAGCGTGAGTAGGATTTTTACCGGTATAGGATTTTGTAAGACTATCTCCCGAAAACAAATCCCCTATTCTTCAATAAAAATTCTACTAAGTTCGTTGGCTCTTAATAACAGACTGTATTTCGATTATTCGATTATTTTCAATTTAATTGATTGACACTTTTTAAAATAAAACTAACTCAATTGAAATTTTCAAGTATTTTTTGTTCTGCTGGGAAATCTAATAATTAAAAACCTATACCGGAATTAAAAGTCATTCACGTTCATTTATAATTTAGTAGTCTAATTTGTTTTCCTTTTAGCACACTAATTTAAATTGAACTTAAAAAAGAACTCAAAAGTGAACCCGCAAAAAGACATTTTTCCTGATTAGAAAATACAAAAGAAAGACGGCCTCAATAGGTGTCTACACGTTGATTGGCACTTAACTAGAACCACGGTAAATTATTTAAAATCACTGACAGCCAGTTAAATTTAAAAAGAACATATGATTTATTTATTTTCTAGATGCATTCATAAATCATTGGTAGGGTGGCCCTCTTCATCCTTTACATTGATTGCCACGGGAAAAAATTACCCACCACACTAACTAATATATATTTTTTTAAATTAAATAAAAAATGTTGGCAAAAGGATTACTTGTGTATAGATAATTAGCAGTAGACGAAGGCACATTTGACGAGTAGTTAGAGACTGAAGAGGTCAAATGGTTCGTCACACCTCCCATCAATGCAGCTGTAGTCTTACTGGGCTTCGCACTACTCTGGAACCCCCCTACACCTGGAGACATTGTCGTCCCGGTCGCACCATTGCGGGTGGATGATACAGTAGTCGTTCCGTTGTTTCCACTGCCAGCCCCCGAGTGGTTAGAGTAAGAGCTGTTGTTTGCGAGAGTAGTCAAACCTGACGAAGGGTAGTGGTGAACGTTGTTCCGTGAGGCAATTGACGAAGAGACGCTAGAAAACAGACAAATCATTAAAAACAAAAAACATCTTGGTTTTTAATGTAAATGCCAAAATAAATCGTAAGACCGCCTTTTTGAGGTATCAGTGAATATTATATTGGGCTTTGATCGGCCATCAGTGTAATATGCTCCCTCAAATACCGATTAGTGTAGTACCGAGAAAAAAAATTTGAAAACGCTATGGAAGGTGAAAGAACTGAATGATTAATGATTTCAATTAATTTTTTCTTAACAGGTTTTCATGCAAAGGATTTCTTTGTGACAGGAATTTCATATGGTTTAGGAACCGATGACATCACAAACGAATACTCAAACACAAAATAGAAAAATTTTTTGGACATACTGGCATGACAAAGACAATTTAAAAATAGACGCAGATAAACATGCAAGTTACGATTTTATACTATCAATTAAACCATTAAAACTATCATTAACTGAAATATAAAAAGTAGGATGATTTGTCGAACTTTTACTTCTTCAAAAATACAGCATTTTATAGCCTCCCATTATTTAATTATATTCCATTTTCATTGGTAGTCATTTCCCTTATTAAAAACAAGGTCAATCATATCTAGCCTGTCAAACCTTATAAAAAAGGTATGGCTCAATAGTTAAAGTCGGCCAGTAAATTCCCACCCAGAGATGACGAGAAAAATTTCTAATATACACACGATTATCATTCTATTATACATTCGGATACTTATACATCTTTAAGTTTTTATAATTTTATATCAACCTAATTTTCAGGAAAATGTAAGGGTAACATGACAATGACGGTTTGTATGACTAAATCACACTCTCACGTGGTCACGACACGACTAGTTTATTTTTACCGGTACTTCGTGGCCATCACGAGAGATCTCGGGGAGCCACTCGGATCTGCCGAGGAGGCCACGTGGTACATGGGGGAGTGGTAGTAAGTGTTCCCCCTTGCACCGCCAGCAGAAGACGACATGTATGCAATGCCACGTGAAGAGCGAAGCAAGGCTATTCTTCAACCAATCAAAATCAAGCATCAATTAATTTTGAGAACAGACCAATACCAACTGGGTTACACTACTTTTTACGTACAGGTACAAGTGATAACAAAAATCAGATCTCTTATGGTTCGAATTATTAGCACAAATTAAGTTATTATATAAAATTCTTTCGATTTTTAAGCAGTTCTTCAGCATCTGAGATTATCAGTTGTCAATCAAATATCAGTTTTCTTCGTTTTCGTTTCGATATACGATCATTTGATCACAATCATTAATTTGAGTGTTTAATACTCTATTCAGGGTGACCACATTCTCGATTCGGAAAAAGGAACCTTCAATTTCATCTGAAAAAAGTACCTTAAAGAACTTTTTAAAAAACCAGGTCATTACTAAGGTGCTTTAAAGAACAAAAAAATAGCCAAAGAAAAACAGAAACCAACAAAAAATCGTACAAAACTTCAGATCACAGAGTAGCAACTTAAAGGAATGATGTCGATGGAGCATCTCTTTTCTGTACAGAGACTAAGGGTCGCTTGCCTTAGATTTACCCATGTCCTCTGAAACATTGATTGGTAAAACCTCGATCAAAGCGAGGTCCCTTAGAAGAAGGACTTTTGAAATTTAAATGACCATAAAAGTACTAAAAGGAACTGGTCCTTTAAAACGGACCATATGGTCACCCTGACTCAATTTGAGCAATTATCTAGCCTGTTTTCAGGCGTTTCAGCACTACAATTAATTGTTGAACAGTCTTTTTAGTAGGCTACATTCAAGCATTACATTACAAATAAGGTCAATTAATTTACAAATTACTACAAACTATACAAGACAGTTATGATGGATGCATTTGGTTGGTGACCTACTTTTTGGATAGATTTCCGGACAAGGGTGGCGCAGCAGCGCCTCCCCCAGACGAGCGCTTCTTGACCGAGGTCAAGTTGGCAGTCGCCGCCGAAATGTTATTAGAAGCGTGCCCGTATGATGTGGGGGAGGAGGTGCCGCCTATAGACAGGCGGGACGCCTTAGCGGCTACCCCGTGCATCCCACTTGACACCTTGGAGGATCCAATTGAGTTGTTTCTAAGGGAGATGCAATTTTCTCATTAAGATTTTGAAACCCAGCTTTGGAACCTTTCCTGTTCATCGAAATCGAGAGAAAACCAGGCACAGTCAAAGAATCTCCTGGATGGCGTATGTAACTCATGCGCTCGACCTTATGATCGCGAGTGCTTTTTAAATTTATCGCTGGCCCTGCGTCCTCCTTACTAAGTTGGGGAAGATCGATGTTGCCCGTTTTCAGGCTAATCTCAGACCCAGAGCACCTCCGCGGGCTCAAAACTAAATTTTTTTTAACTTTCCCATTATTCTGACAAGCCAACTCAAAAAATTCATTCTGCTTTTCATTTATAAAACTTCAAGGTGGATATAAAGCTATCTCTGTCAAACAATGTTAGAATTCACATAAACGTTATTCGTTACAATATTTCCCAAAAAAATAAAAAGCTGTGCACCAGTCATTGGCGTGAGTGCCTTGCATTTTCAATACGGTATGGTTAAGAAGCAAGGTGTCGTTAAATTTAAAAATTAGGTAATCCGCAACCTTTTTGTTACTAACTTGTTGCTCAAAACAGACGAGCCAACCGACTTCTTACTCGCACTGCCCTTCGGTGACTTGGAAGCTCTCCGAACCCCGGTTGTCGAACCTCCTGATGAGGCTGCCGAGTCACTTCTACCCTGTAGTCCCACTGGGTGGTGGTTTTGGCGCTTGGCTTTGATCAGCAACAAATGGTCTCCCTGCGACTTCCGCAGAGCAGCGCCCGAGGATCCATTTGCGGACGGTCTGCTCACTCCTGATGAGGTGCCATGCGAGTTCAAACCCGTGCGAGGACTCCGGGAATTCTGAAAAAAAGAGCTTCAATTCAAGTTAAAATTCAAATTACCCAAAATTTTATGATGAGCGGAATTTTTTTAGGACTGTCAAGACAATTTAACCAAACACCGCGAGGGAAAAACTAAGATATGAGCTGTTCAGTTCTTTACGGCTTACCGCTGTTGCGGCCCTGGTTAAGAACTGCAACAATTTTTTAAAGTTCTGAGTTCTTTAGTTTCTTGGCAGGGTAAGGTTGCGTTACCGTCAAATAACGAGCGTGGATCATGGTGAGCATAGTACATCTGACCTATCAATTGAGAAGCTGATACGTAACCACTTCTCATATTTGAACTAGCACACAGAGGAAAAGGAACCCTTTGGGTCTTTGCTTTTTACTCAGGCCAAAAATGCCTAAGAACTACAAAAATAGCCAACAGACAGTTGGGAAACTGTAAAACCAGGAAACTTTTCAAAATTTTTGTAACTGCGAGAAAAAATACATCACGTTAAAGGTTTTTGAATTTCGGGAATCTTTTATGACTGACAATTTTTTCATATAAAATAACCGAAGAAAAGGCTGTATCATTTTTTTTAGATAATTTTTTCATTCTGCGAGAAAATCTATAATTAAAATCCACGTTCGAAACTAGAATTTATTCACATTTTCCCGCGCAATTTCAATTTCACAATTAAATAGTTTAATTTGCCCTCCTTTACCTAAATGAATTTGAAATTGAACCTGTAAAGAAAGCAAAGTCAAATTGACCGTGTAATATTTGGTGCTAGGTATTTTAGTATACCGGTTTTTCAGCAGACTCAAAACATTTAATAAGTCAAACCGGTAACTTCAAAAGCGGCATTGGCAACGGCAAATAGCGACAGCTTACTCTACTACTCTTGCATTCGGCATTAGAGTTATCGTGCACGTGAATCAGTGTTTGCCATGGGGACCGGCCTATTAACATGTGTGTCGATTAGCATGTTCATGTAAAAGAATGTGGTTTAAAGCTTTGCCATTTCACGTTTTGTTTACCAAAATTGCAATTTTGAAATTTTAGCTCCCCTATCAAATCAAGTGGTAACCGAAGTTATTTTCGATATTTTAGGCTTATTTGTTTTTCGACTGAAAGCACACCCAATTAAAGCAATTAACGCATGCTAATAGGCGCACATGCCAATCGCTACCCTCCGTTAGCCGCAAAACTAGTTTTTTTTTTGCTTCAGTTTTGTTAAACCATGGGATAATTGTCTTAATTAGGGAAACTCAACCATAGACTGTGCCTTTTTATGCCTGTCAAGCCACTGTGCATCAGTTGTACTTCATTGTTCTGCTAGAAGACCCAGTTTTTATTTTTTAAGCTAAAAGATCGGTCTGCTAAAATATCAGTCCCTAAAAGCTTCTTATTGAAAGTCATTTATGTTATGATTTATAACAACAAAACTAATTATCTGTAGTTCACAATTAAAAACTGAATTTTGAGGTGATTCAATGTCTCAGTTCTACCAACCTCTCTTGCTCGCCTGTACGTGTAGGTTGACGTTGGACTAGATAGAGAACTGCCTCCCCCCTTTGTCCCGTACTTGGCGACAGAAGACACCCCTCCACTCAACCTGCCTGCTACCCACCGTTGAGCACTGGTCGCCGCATTTGCAGCCGATGTCACCGCCGTCCCAGTAGCCGACGACTGTTGGGCCGAACTATAGGATAATCGGTTCGAACCACTTACTGGCGAAGAGGACGAGGTCGTTTGTTGTTGGATGTGTGTTGAATATAATGCCGTTTGACTACTAGCACTGTAATGTGGATTATTCTGATTCATTTTGACTGCTTCGTTGTTCTGAGTAGAATAACCATTTCTATGAGACATTCCCATTGTTGCTGCTGCTGCTCCTGATGAGGATAAAGAGTCTCCCCTTTGGTTCCGTGTTCTAAACAGAAAAGCATTAGTTCAGGGTTTAAAATTAAACTATCTCATAAGATCAATTTGAAACACTCGAATTTCTTCAACAATGGCCATTCTACAACAAAGACAGCCCGTTACTGTGCAAATAGCACAGAATGTTCCGACCACAGTCTTAAAAATACGAAAAACATTTTCTCAAGTCGTTGTCGTTTTTTCTGCATGTTAAAAATAGAACTTGGTCATATTTGAGAGCCATAGTTAAATAGGTCAAAAGCAAAACAGTTTGAAGAAAAATGACTAGAAAAACTAAAATTAAAAAAAAATGGAAAGTGAAATTGCGCTAAAAACACTAAAATCTACCTTTACTTGATTAAAACTAAATTTTCAAGGCTTAAACAAGCTATTGTAAGCCTTTACGGTCACCTTATTAGCTCGAAATTAGACCAACATCAAAAATTTCAAACCGGTTTTTCGACACTGCGAAAACGTTTGAAATTTTTAAATGTCGTTCGAATCACGACTGAAAGGACTTCAATACGATATATCACTCAACCCATTCCGATGATTTTTGTGGTACCTGATTTTGCGCGGAAAACAGGAAAAAACTAAAACACACTCGAATACATTTTCCCATTTTCAATGGTCGGAACAAAAAGGGATTTGTTTTAGGTTGAAACTTCAAGCGTGCTTAACTCCCTTATCTTTGGGACTTTATGCAGTGTACTTTGTTATCATAAATCATAAGGAGAGGGGGAAGCGTGTGATTAGATTCAAAACTTCTTGTTGTTCCGACCATTGAAAATGGAGAGGAACTTAGTAATCAGATGTATTTTAATTTTTTCTCTTTTTTTCTTTGTTTTCCACGCAAAATCAGGTACCACAAATAATGATCGGACTGGGTTGAGTGATATATCATAATAAAGCCCTTACATTTGTAATTCGAGCCCTATTAAGAAACTTTGAACAAACTTTCCCAGCGTCGAGAAAAACCGGTTTGAAATTTTTGGTTTTTCGGCGTATTTCGAGCGAAGAAGGCGAGCGAGCAAACTTATTTCAATTGCTTAAAAGCTTATAATAGCTTAATTTAAAACCTAAAAACTTAATTTTACTTGGGTAACGTTAGTTTATATAGAATATTTTAACGCCTTTTTGGATAAAATTTTCCAAAATTCAAAACCTGCAAAAAAAACTTCGAAAATGTTTTTTATGACTTTGTTTTTCGTTTTTCTAGTGACTTTTCTAGAAAAATTGTTTTTCAATTTGCTTATTTTAGAATGTCTTTTGAATCTAAATAATCCCCAGTTTTTGTTCAGCAACTTCTATCGCATCACACCAAAATCAACGACAATAATTTGTAAAAACTTTGTATTTTCATAGACTATGGTCGGAATATTCTGTGCTACTTGCACAGTAACCGGCTATCCTTGTTAAATTTAGTCTACAGTACCTTACAAAAACGATTTACAATACAATACAACACATTATACGATTTATTTGGATTAAACATAGCCCACTGACAGTTGGAAAAGAGTAATGAACTCAAGGAAACTGAAAAAAAAACAGACTTATTTTTTGAAAAACCTTCAACTTTTAATTTAAAATAGATGGCCTTAAAGCTCTTTGAACTTTTAGAACAATTTATGATACATTAACCCAACTTGAAAAAACTGGATCAATAGCTAAACTTTTTATTCTACTGAAAATCTAAAAATTTATTTGCACTTCCGAAACTAGAAATCGTTCGCGTTTTTCGCGCCATTTCCACGTTCGTATTTGGAGAGTGCTATTTACATAACTTTCAGCAGATGAATTTCAATTGAACTCAAAAAGTGCATTTATGCCTAAGTGCATTATTATGTATGAATGCACATCTGTAGTAATTAGAGCATTTTAAGACTTTTCCCTGGAAAAAAAATCAGCAAGACCTTTATAAGAGTCTTCACTCGTTCATTACTCTTAATTAGTTCACTGAGACAGTTTGAAATTCTAGTGCATTCAAGAAAAGGAATAAAATAATGAGTGCATCTATAGCATGCTTTACCTGAACATGTCACCCTCCATCCACATTTTGCTCTGCTGACTCTCCACGTAGTGCTGCTGGGGTCCGATGACTGAGCCTGGCCTGCAGATGCGGATCCAGGCGATGACCTCGGCCGCCGTGAACTTGTAGTGCTTCATGATGAAGCAACCTATCAGGGTCCCTGTCCTCCCGAGGCCGGCTGGAACAAACAAAATGACATACTAATGTACAGACACGACAAATAATCAAGACTGAATAAAAAATACGATAAATTAGACAAAAAGACCGATCAATCTAAACACTTTGTAATTGGGAAAAGCTAATCAATAACATCTGACAATTAAAGTTTCCAAAATATAAACTACTGCTCTGTGAACTTTTTTTACTCAGTGATAATAAATAATATTATCCCTCCCCGACCGTAAGACATCCGTTTAAAAAGCCTTGTACCATGTGGTATATAATTATCTAACCTTTGCAGTGTACGGCAATGGCGCCGCCTGCCCGCTCGCATATCTCAAGGAATTTGTAGAGGATCTCCTGGGAAGGATTACTGCCGTCCACGAAGAACAGGTCGTAGTGCTCAAATCCCGCGTCCGTGAACCTGAGCGAAAGCCATTTAGTTTTTTCTTGTATAGAAAAAAAATTAATCAAAGATTAGCCAGACAGAGGAAAACAAATTTTTCCGACAAAATACTTTTTCAAGTTAAAATTTTGGGTCAGTCGGTCAAAAATGGCTGTCATAAAATAGTACGAAAAGGAGCCCTTTGGGAGGTATGGGGTGTCGATGATCTCCTGGTTGCTTTTAAAACTAATTATTTGCTGCTTGGATTAGACTACTTTCAAACATACTCCATTTGTAATCAAACACCCGGCAGCAATGGATGCGCTTTAAACAGCTTAAACAAGAACTAACTTAAACCTGAACACCAAATTTAACGCAGAAAAATGCTAACTGTTGCACGAAAAACTGAACACAAAAATTCAACGCTTATCCCATTCCCTTGTGAAATTTTAATATAACCTTGTTTGAAAAAATATGAAATTTGTATATAAAAAAGGTTGCAACAATCTGTTTCCTAGATCGAACTGACACGTTTTATTGAAGTTTAGAACACCAAAACCAATTTAAGCTAGCTTCGTTAATCGAAATTTGGTAAACATTTGAGGTGGGAACCTGGAAAACAGCCCTGAAACGAACCTATAACACAAGAATTGATTGTTCTACAACCTCTTGGCGTCGTAGAACTTCTTGTTGAGTCTGATCACAGTTGAGACGTGGTGCTTCCTGAAGTAGGGAAAGTAGACTTCTGGTGCGTGCAGCGGGTATCCGTCTAGGATCACACTCTGGTTGTGGGGTCCCGAGAAGGCGAGGAACTTGTCCGGTAGGATCCAGTTGAAGTCCCCGTTGTCCACTTTCTAGAATTATTTTAACAAATTGGTTGTGGTTGTGATTTGTATTCGAATCTTCTCTTTACACAAACCGTCATCGTATTGGCGAAATAAGAGTGAAACAGGGCGATATATGACAATAGGTGGTAGCTTCATGTTAAATAGCTGGATCGCTTTTTGTTATACTTGGAATATATTTATAACTTATTTCAAAAACTATTTTTTGACACAAGTGTTAATATTAAATTTTTGACCAACATTTCATCTGGCAGAGTAACGTATTTATAAAAAATATTTTAGTAGCATGTACAGTTGTTTGAAAATGAAATGACTATATTTTGCAATATAGTTCTCAAATTTAAAACACCCAATCTACTCAAAATTACCGCCTATTAAAATATCACCTGAAACAGTGCGAACATCAAATACCATTACTGCATTTTTTCTTGGCGCTAGTTTTAAAAATTTTTTTACCAAACTGATTACAATATTTTCAAATGCGCGAAAAAAGCTATTTGCAGCAAAAATGCCACCAAATAAATGAGCACTTGAGTGACTTCGGTTGGAAAAAAGTGGCCTTCGTAATGACACCAAACCTCACATGTGTAATCACAAAATATTGTGCAATATTGTTTACACGGAGGCGAACCTCTATAAGCGCAATAAGCTCTATAAAATGCAAGCTCTATATAGTGCAACCTCTATAAAATGCAGCTAGCGTTTACGCACCTCCGGTGCTTCGAACTTTGAGAGCTCATAAAAAACCGCATATAATGAAAAAAAGATCTGAAACCTTTGAGTGTACTCTGAGACTACTCAATAACAGGGTTCGTAATTTCAAATGTTGCTAAGTTTTTTTCTATGTGTTTTTTTAATTCAAAATTTGAAAAAACCATTAAATTTTGTGAAATTTTTCATATCTAAGTTTTTTTGAATGATTATTAAATTACATAAAAAACGTCGCATCTGGGAAACTAAAAGCATTTAAGCAGTCGCATTTGGACGCTAAATTTTCAACTCCTGAGAGTACTCTCACAGTACCCATGTGGGTTAGGAATTTTGAAAATTGAGAAAACTTTTAAATTAGTTTCGAAAAATTCAAAAACCATAAAAACGTCATATCTGGAAAATAAAAAAGTCCTGAGCGGCAAAATTTGCAAGCCCTAGAGTACTCTGGCAGCCCCCAACTAAAAAGTTAAGAGTTTCGAAATTTCAAGAAAAAAAAATTAATTTAAGTTTTCTGAAAACTTTTTGAAAAATCGCAAAAAAATTTATATCTCAAAAACTACAAAAAAATGAGCAGTGACATTTGGAGGCAAGATTAGCAACCCCTGAAATTACTCTGACAGTCCCCTACCCCCATTACAAGGAAGAGGACTTCAAAATACAATTGAAATTTGAAAAAAAAATTACATTAAATTTGCTGAAATTTTTTTTGAAAAAAAACCACAAAAAACGTCATGCCTCGAAAACTTAAAAGAAAAATCAGCAAGACCTATATAAGAGTCTTCACTACGTTCGTTAATCTTAAACACTTTAACAGAACACTATTCTTTGCGATTGAGGCTGGAAAACAAGAAGATTCGTAATAACACACTAAGCTGATCGCAAGTGTAAATAACTATTAAATAAATTGAAAGCAGCATTAACTCAGGGGAGGAGATTCGAAAACTCCAGAAAAGATAGTTTCGTTAAATTGATTATTTTTCGACGAGAGAGCCGACTCACCTCATAATGTTCATACTCTTCGACGTCGAAGTTTTGAAATTGGAAGAAGTTATTGGCTAAGGCCTGAAAAGAGGCAAAAATAAATTGAAAATAAATTTTACTAAATCTTGAAAAAATATGGCATTTTTTTTAAAATTTACTTTGCTGATGCTGTGGAGACAGTCCAGCACGGTCAAGTTGTACGATGAAGGCGCCATTGAAGCATCTCTGAAAACATGCATACGGTTTCTTAACTTAATACAATATACAGCTGTTCAATGATTATATTCATTGAGGAACAAGTAACATATTATCTCACTGTGGAAGAATTCAGAAGCGCCGACAAATATTTTTTAAATTAAAAAAATCACTTTTTTCAAATTGTATTTTTTTCAGTTCTTCTCACCTGAAAGGCATGAAGGAAGGATTATTTCCGCTAACTAAAGGTCGGTATGCTTCTTCTGCTGTCCGCTTTAAATATATAATCTAAACAAACAACAACACAGTTTTCCTTTATCAACAATATACACTGGTTTGTGTCAAATTCGTATAGCCCACGGGTGTAATTTTGGTACTTGTTGTACAGTTTGACAACTAATTCAACACGTAAGCTTTGTGACACCGTTTTGACAGCCGACTACCATTTTTTTTAACTTCCACGAAACAAAGCCGACAATATTTGAGCAGGCACCAGTTGAGCCGAAAAAAATGGTTTTGTACAAAAAAGTTTTAGGTCCGCTCTGAAACTACAATGAGAAACGCGTGCAACTATAATGAAAATTGCTTACAGCACGATAAAAACCCGTGATGTGGTAACTAAGCCGACAAAACTTGAGTCGACAACCGAAAGTCCGACAATTCAATTTCTACCTTAAACACATTTGAACTTCAAAAAACAAGGTCGGGACTCCAAGCCCTGGTCTTGGGGTGCAAAGGTGATCGCATAACCTACAGGCCACGTGCAAATTAACCTGGAAGTTTTAAAGGTTCAATAACAAAGCAAGTAAGACTAGTAGGAAAAGTTGTTTACTCGATTGCAAGATACTTGCTCGTTGAAATAGAAGTATCTGCTCAAGAAAACTGATTGGACGATAATTTTTTTATTCTAAACACTTTAGGTTTAAGCGAAAACAGATGCTGACCGAATTTGAGCCAAGGCTCTTAGCTGTCAACTAGTTATCGTAACCAGTAGTAAAATTTGAACTTTCAAGAAATTGAGCATGTTTGCTGCGGAATTGAATGCTGCACAAACGATTCAGTGATTTTGTTAAACTAGTAGTTAACCCAAAAAAGCCTATATTCCGATTTGATAACGCTTTTTTAATGGTTCATGACAAAATTATTTGATTACAGCAAGAAAAACAATAGTCTCTGAGTTAGTAGCAAATTGGCCCAAGTTAACATCGAATCCCTACTTTGACCGCGCTACTACAAATTAAATAAAATTTTCTTCTTGCTGCGTATTAAAAGAGCCTCGATAATCAACTCATATTGAAAGACAATTAGTAGAAAAAGACTTCATGCAAAATTGGAGGAATGCGACAACTCACGATTGTTAACTTTTTTTTTGAAACGCAATGTTGGCAAGTTGCGAATTTTTGCTCTGGCGCAAAAATTTCATGCGCTTGTATCGAATGATGTCAATTTGAAAACACAAAGGCGAAGCGAAGCGATACAACTTGAGATACACCAGTGTAAGCTAGCAGACAGGAAAAGAAAGCCACTACGTCCAAAAAAGATTTCAAAAAACAACAACTTACAAAAATTCAAAAAGTTGTCTGAATCATAATCTATTAGCGGAAACCACGTCTAGAAACACAATTGACCGCAATTAATGAATATTCTAGAAAAAAACACAAGCGGCGAATGAGCCGACAGAACTTAAATATTTTTCAATAGAACCGAAAATATAATTGTTGTCATAAAAATTTTAAGTACAAATTCTATTTTAAGAATTTAAGCACTTTGTGCGATTCGGAATAAAGCAAATGACTTATGCTTCCTTTGATATGACCCCAAATTAGATCACTTAGCCGATAAAATAAAAACAGAAATCATTTCAGCCGAATAAGGTTTTTAGGCAAAAAATCAGCAAAATATACGAAGTCAAGGCTAGTAAAATTAAAAATTGCAGGAACCATTCAAAACACTGAAATCAACTACATTGAAAATTGCGAAAAAAATCAATTCTACGATGTGGGAACTAAGCGAAAAAACAGAAGCAGACAAACTATAAGCTGACATTTTTTGGAAAGGAGTATTTAAAAGGAAAATATTTAGGAAAAAACAGTTTCTGGGCAGCTTTCAACCCACGACCTTTGCCGTCCCAGGCGTATTTTTCACCTCCAGGCTAAAATCCGGGCACGCACAGAACCTGAAGTCATTATGAACCCAGATACAAGTGACTCAAATGATTCTGTTAAACACGTTGTTAACCCAAAAAAGTCTATTCCGGGTTTATAACGTTTGCTAATCGCAAGCGTAAAAAATGTCGAAAAAACTAAATCAAAATACGTTAGATGAGCATTCATAAAGATTTATCAAGCGGCATCGAAGCCGGCAACACTTGGTTAAATGCGCGTTGAGTCAAAAAAAATTGTCTTAAAAAACTTATTTTGAGCTATGTGTTTGTTACACCATTGTTTTGAGTATCTTAGGAAAGCATTTAAACTTATCTTTATCTTTCAAATGATGCCATATAAAATGATTAAGCTGATTAAAACATAAGCCGAAACCAATTAAGCAGGGAAAACATTTTTAAGCGAAGAAACGGAAACTATACAAAATCAGAGGCAACCAATTTACAAATTAGAGGAACAAATCAAACGCCTTTCACTTTGCTTCAACCAGCAGAAAATTGCATAATTTGAAAAGAAAGAAAGCTGACAAACCTTAAGCAGACAAACTAATTTCGCCGTAGCCGTTAATCTAATTTCTCCCAGAAAAAAAATCATTTTATTGACAAGTCTTGGCCAGAATCGAACCCACTACCTATGTCATCCCAAGCATGGGCTGAACCTCCACGCTAAACAAGCGAAATTGGCTCTTCGAACTTGATGTTGATGTACTATTGAACCGCCAAAAGTCAAAAATGAGCGTGAACAACCCTTATATTTTTCACGAAAAAAAATAAACACTATCTAAAAAGTCTTCACAAAAACTTTCAAACCCTCCGGTCAAAAAATTCCAGCAAACGCCATTTATTGACCTAATCCAAACATTTCTTGCTTCCAAACATTGTCCATTGAGTTAGTTCTATTTTATTGCTCATCAGATGCTTTAAGCAGCCGTTTCCCACTGACGTGAGACTGATAGAGGCATCCGAAAACTAACTAGATTTGTGAAACGAAGATTACCTGATAAGCACCAATGAGAAAGGCAGCATTTGCCCTCTTCCTCGCATCATGACCGGTGTAGTGTACTATCTTCTTTTTGCTCAGAGACGCCGACTAAACAAACAACACATCATATAATAATTAGAGTGCGTTACAGTAGTTTGTCAGGTGTATCTATTCGAAATGTAAAATTAGCCTACACATTTACGCTCACACATTCAGGGGAACCGTTAATTCAAATAGTTTTTATTTGGTATCGAATTATCAAACTAATTAATCAAGTTTAAATGATGGGCCATTCTCATGGCAGCTTCGTCGAATAGCAGAAAATGGATCTTGTTAACTATTCCCCCCTCCCTATTTTGATTTTCAGAAATTCAACTTTGGCTGCAAATAGCTTGAGACAATTTTCAGAAAATATATATTTTAAAAAATTTTACGTGGGTATTATATAAATAGTGAGTAATACAAATACGAACGCGCGAAAATGAAAACCCACTTAATTGTTTACATTTTTCTGAAATGCATGTTTTATACAGAAATGGTTGTCAAAAAAAACTATCCCACATTGACTGAATCGTCATGTTTTCTTCCAACTGTTTGAATACCAATACATGATTGGCTAAATACAATTAACTTTTGTTCTGTTCTTCTGCCACGAGGTATTGCACTAAGACTAGGTCCACTAAAACTAGCAAGCGAATTCATTGCCAAAAATTGATTTCTTCTCATAATAATTTTGAAAATACGTAACTAAAAGCCCTAATTAAGTTCTATCACATTCACGTTTTATTTGATCTAAAGAGGCAGTACCACAGTGCCGAAGTACAACAGTGCCGAAAAAAAAATTAGTTCAACAGTGCCGAAAATGAAAACTTTGTTCAACAGTGCCGAAAATTAGAACAAATTTTAACAAACTAAGTGCGGCAACCAAAAATTGCAAAATAAAAAATCAGTCGCAAAATTTATCTTCTTGAATTCTGATTGGTTGAAATTTGAGCCAACGAATTTATGGATTCATTGTTTACTGTTCAACCAGCATAAACTCAAGCTGCAGAATAGTGACCGCCGCAGCCGCGCCAACGTGTTGCGAGCTTGCCACCAAAGGGTAGGACTCTATACGAAAATTAGGGAGTGCGGTCTGTATTTAGACAACCCCGTATTCATACTCGTCAGTAAGCAGACAATTACAATATTAACAAATCAGAATCGAGATGAGAATGCAAATTTACGAAATAAATTATTATTAATTATTCATTTCTTCCTTGTCTCGATTCTGATTGGTTAATACAGTATTTGTCTAAATACTGACGAGTCTGAATACGCGGTTATCTAATAACTGCTACGTTACCAAAATTTAGAGCCAGTTATCGCCGCAAAGCGGCGACGCGCGCGTAGCGCGCCCACCGGCGACCTCAAACCGAGACTCGACTAATTTAGTCTTTTGACCAATTGAAAAGATTTGGGACTTATGCAACTGCTTTCTTATTTTGGGACCTATGGGACTGATTTTTTATTTTGGGACCTATGAATACGGTTAAGTAGCAGTATTAAGACAACCGAGTAACCAGAAACGTTAGTATTTAGACAAATACTGTTTTAACCAATCAGAATCGAGACAAGGAAGAAATTAATAAATAATTATGATTTATTTTGGATTATTTATCTCTTATCTCGATTCTGATTGGTTCATACATTATGTATCTAAATACTGACGAGTATGAATACGCGGTTGTCGAAATACATACCGCACTCCTATGAATACGCACCCAAAAATTAAACGGCGATCATTTACAATCTTAAGCGACACTAAGATTTTGAGCGAGAAAATTTGCAACTTAGACGTTTTGGCGCCAAAATAATTGTATAATTTTCACAGTTGCAGACATTTTGGCGCCCAAATTGGAGTGATTTTCTTTGTTAATTATAGCGTCAGTAATTTCCCGCTTTTTATAAAAATGCGTTTAAATTATTCTGAAATTTTCCCGCCTTTTTCGGCACTGTTATACTTCGGCACTGTTGAGCGCCCACGATCTAAATAATGGAAAAACCAATGGCTCAAAAACTTAATTTGTTGCAGAAAAACACTAAACTCTTGAAAATGTAAATTCGATTTTCAGAAGCTAATAAGCAGCCAACAGAGGGTTGGAAATAAAGTTTTCACTAAGAACGTAACAAACGCGTTTCATATTTCAGCAAGCGAAACAGATACACAGAGGACGAACTGATCCTCGCAACACTTGCGATACATCACAAACATAGCCTTGCACGCTAGCTGATAAAAACGAAACAGAGCCACCAAGTCAAATATAAACTATTTTAAAAAGAAAATCGAAAAAACTAAAAACGAATCTCTCAAAAATGTTCAATTTGAGAAAAACAAGCTAAAAACGCAAAATTCAGAGTTATATTTGCAGTGAGAAAAAGCAAAAGGCTACAAAGCATCCAGTACTTTTCTTAACACCTTTTCAGCCGAAAAAAAGTCCTAACAATTTTGCGCTATAAAACCTTTCAAGATTGCTGGTTGTTGGATCCCAGGAAGCACAAAAACGCATCCGAATGTATTATCACCCTGTAGTATACCTATAATGAAGCAACTAAGCTAATATAATATTCACTGAAACCATTCAAGACCACGAAACTTCAAAGCAAAAATAACACAGGCAAAGCGGAGCTTCGCAATACTTGCGATACAATGAAAACATTGCATACAAGATTTGGATAGAAAGAAAAGAAATCATGTTTCTGAAAAATTAAGCTGAAAAAACGATATCTACAAATTTTTAGATTTCTGGCTCGGAAGATGTTCATAAACAGCCTTAAAACACTGAAAATTAATGAACGAGCGTCAACCAAGGCAAAAAAAATGTGCGTCGACCCTCCTTAAGCCGAAAACGAAACTGACCAGTAATAAGTTTCAACTTTCAAGATCCATTCCTCCTGCAAAAAGCACTATCATTTCAAAATTTGCCCTTGCAACCACGCAACATAAGTCAAGGCGATAAAAAGTACGCCGAACATGTTTAAACAGAGGCGAAGCTGCGCTTCGCAAACATTTGCGAAAACACGGCCAAAAAGCAGCTCTATCAAGTGAAATAGTTAAAAGTAGAAATAAGCCTCGAGTTAGCAAAAACTCGGCTACGTTTCGTCGGATTCGAACCGCGACCTGACAAATTTGAGTCTCACGCACTAACCATTCAGCCACGGACTTAAAATGCATCAGCTGTGTTAACGTTTTACTAATCAAATGTCAAAGCACATATGATTTTATACTGCTACCGCAGCCTATCGATCCAAAAGTGCCACCAAAAGAAACCTTTTTATTTGCGACTTAGGTTGGAAAAAAGTTCGTACAATACAGTTTGGTTCGCAAGTGTAAAGAGAAAAAAAACCAATGAATTTATTGGAAGTTAGAGATGGTAAACTACAAACTACAGAACTACTTTCAATATAGCTTAAGCTAGGGGCCCAGCGAAAGCTGGAGGTACATGTTTGATATTTTAAGAACATTTTTTTTACTGATGCGGGATGAAATGCGTTATTTTCCAAAATTTCAAAAACCTTTAATTTTTCTACAAAAATAAGTGACTTTTACGCAGCCTGTTTTTTTATCCAACCGGTTCCTACGAAACCACTTATATCGGGAAGATTTCCATAACCTGTTTTTGTGATTGATCTCCAAATCTCAGATTTGTCAGAGTAGTTTTCGAGTAGTGATAAACTTCGCAACAAATTTGAAAACGACAAAAACATCAAAAAGTGGACGTTTCCAAGGTCATTTACAAACAAAAAATAAAAAGTCGACGCTTCTGCGAGCAAAAACCACAACCGGTTCATTCGATTCAATTCTTAAAATCATATTTTGTGGGGTGGTTATTAAGTCAAAAAGATTCCAAAAAAGGGTTATAAAAATAATCAAATTTGAATTTTCCAAGTGTTATAACTGTTTTTCTACAAAAAAAATATGGCGTACAGGCTTATGCTGTGAAAAAGCTCACAAACTATTTTTGCGCATTAACCTGAGAATGGGCTGGGTAGTTTTCGAGAAAAGTCTAAGTTTCCGAAAAAGGGTCAGAAATTCAAAAACTTGACTTTTCCTAAGGCCATTTTTTCTCTAAAACTTAAGTAGCTTTCTGTTCAAGCAGGGGAGCTTCCCATTGGGAGGTTAGTTTTTGAACCTCAAACAAATCACGATCGAAAAATCACAAGTTCGACTTTACCGAGCCATAACTTTTCGGGTGAACCAGCTAGGGCGTAGCTGCATATACACATGAACTTTCCATAACCTGTAGCAAAATCACTGACAAGTTGAGACAAGCCATAAAGTAATAAAAAAATTGGGTCGAAAAATCCTGCCACACAATTTTTCGAAAGTGGGGTGAGGTAGAAAAGACTATGAGATTATGCAGGCAGACAAGGGAGCAGGAAGTTTTTCTATAGAAAGTCGATAAGATAATTAATTTTTGAGAAAAATGAAAAAAAATCCAAAGTGTCTCAAAAAATAAATCAAAAAAAAGTTCAAAGCAAATCCCATAAATTTACAAAACTGCTGTATTAACCAAACAGGAGCTGTTCAAATGAACTAGACAAAACCCAAGCTTTGGAAAAAAATGCGTGAAAAGTGCACTTATTCTTTCAAAGAGGTACTAGTGGGGTTGATTTTGGCAGTCAAAAATTGGCGTCAGAGTCTTATCGACATCAAAAGTACTACAGAATTGGAGGCGACATCCAATAGGCTGAAACTTGAGCCAAAAAACATACCAGTAGCGTATGCAAAGTAGATTACAGACCGGCTGAAGCTGGAAGTACTTGTTTGACATTTTTTAAGAATAGGTACTGATGCGAAAACGGGCAATATAAAAAATCAAAACAATCAAAAATTGCACTATTCACAAGTTTATGGCTTATTTTCAACTAAAAAATACGTCAAAAAATGATTACTTTGACAATTACTGAAAGAACAAATTCAAAAGTTAAGCGAGGTTGGGAGGGTAGTTTTTGAGAACTTAAGTCAAAGGTTTCTAAAAGTAACAAAAAAAAATCAAAACTTTGACATCTCCGAGGGCCTTAACTTCTGGTGTATAAGGCGTAGCTACTAATTCAGGGGGGCTTCT